AATATCCAAGCTGTCACTCGGCGAATTTACTCGAAAGACAGATGAAATTGAAACGTCAAATCTATCTGATATTGTTCGTAGAGGTTCTGTATTTGCCAAGTGCCACAAAAATATAAGAAAGCTGAGTTTCGCTTCAATTGGTCTCACTCCAAACGAATGAGAAGGAATAAATCCACTTTCATGCAATTCATCTAGAATATATAAGAATTATACGTTTTAAATATTATAAAATCATGTTTAAAAATATAAATTATTTGATATTTAAAATGAATATTACCTATTAATCGAATTGCTAAATTACGCTTAATTCGCAAGTGCTCTTTAAATTCTAAATCTGTCCAACTATCCACAACATGAAGATAATCTTCAACTCGATGTCTTTTACACCCACTGATTAAATATTTCATTAAAGAAACAATAATAAATAACCATCGTTTTTCTCACTACTGAAAGATGTATCATCAATTGAAAGACTACTATTGTTCCAGTCTATTTCACTGTTGCTTGAGTCTTCTGCGCTTGCACTGGTGTTTATCATACTCTCAGTACAAGATTAATAACTATCTTTTCCTTCCCATTCATCTATATAAAATTACTTAATTAATTAATAAACTATTAATTTTTTTTAATAATATAAAATTAAATAAAGTGAAAAATAAAATAAAACATGTTATATTAATTAATATTAAAAATAGTATTATAAAAAATATATTTTTTAATTGATTACTTTTCCATAATAATTTAATGTACATAATTTAATAAGATTTTTTAATCATTCTCTTCTATATATTTGATAAATAAGCTAATTTATAAGAAAATTTTGTTAAAAACACTAACCTTTATATAACTTTATAAGAAAGTATCTTGTAACGATTTAGATTATTATTTTTAAATTATTGACATATGTCTGTTTGCATTGCAAACTAGTAACAAGATATATAAAGTAACTGCCCTGCACTCTAACGGTGAAAGAAAAAGCTAAGCAGCGTTCCAGCCACGGTCTTGAATACAGGTCGGGAAACTCCTATGGAGGGGGTGACCCGCTTAGTGAAGGCATTTTTAGTTGACACTATCACCACTTGGAGCGCTGTAAGTTAAGAGTGCTATCTCGCTGCGCTAACTTCGTGAGCGGCTGTCATTGCGGAGTTAATGATAATTTATATAGAAGGTTATCGCAATTTGGTCATTGCAAACTTGGGTTTACCCAGCGAAATACAGTGTAACAAGCGCACAAAGTCGTAGTGAATTAACAATGACAAAGTATTGTGTCGTGCCGAAATGCAAGACTGGATGCAAAAGTGTCGCAGTGAAGTGTTCAGTTTTTAAAGTGCCAAAATGCGACGAATTGCGTAAAAAATGGATATCTGCAATCCTGGCATAAAGGACCTGAAACCCAACCAATGCGTATGTGAAAAACATTTTGATAAAGCAAGTATAATAAGGGAGCTCGTAATGCGCGATGCACAAGGAAACGTGGTAACCGAGGTAAGCTCAGTTATGAAAAAAAATATTCTGTCGCGTCAAAAGAAATTTTAATAATATATCTATGTATTGACACTATAATTCAAGACTTATGTGACTAGTAATCTTATCCTGAGGTTTAAAGAAATTTAAAAAAGATAATTAAGAGCTAGATATAGTAGTCTCAGTGTATCTCGATTTCCAGACTTTAAAAATCAGATACCCAATTTGTATAAGTTGATTTTATGTAATTTGTTCAGGCTAAGTACCTGCGAACTCGTTTATTTAAATCTGCTGTGCCCACGATTTTCTATGAGTTTTCCTCGACTACGTTAGTTTCCAAGGACGAGGATTTGCAGGAAGAAAAGTTGGGTGTAGATGCTGCGAGTAATGGATCGCTTAACTCAGACGTGCATTGTACACTATCAAAATCCATCGAAATCACATTGCCTATTCCACAGTCTGTTGATGTGACAAGTAAATATTATCATGCTTTATTGTATTCCACGAATTCAAATAGCAATCCAGCAATTGATTCCTACTGTATGCAGCCATTCCATGATGCTATTTTCGTAATAGCTATTATATTATACACTCTGTTACAGCCGATGATATTGACGAGTTTTTGCTCTCTGAAAGCACGAATGTCAATACAGAGAATTTGAGTGCAATTGATTGCCAGCAAAGCAAAAAAGAAACAAATGATTTCACTGATTGTGAGAGAATATCGGACTCGGTTGACCTAAAGCTCATGAAAAGTATCAGCATGGCGTGTAAGTGTTGCTATTATTGTATCTACATTAACTATATATAAAAATGAACAAATATAGTATTGGTACGAACGTTTGCAGGGATTATAAGATTTAAGGTCTGATAATACGAATAATATCATTACATATATATTTTATATGTTTTAGCGTACAAAGATTCGTTAATCACAATACCAAAGTCGTGAGTTTCACCGAGTCGTACAGAGGAACAAAACGGTATTTGATATTCTCACACGTATGGTTGATGACCAATAATGACACAGATGGTCCTATTATAGACAAAAGTGTCATAATCGACGACGTAGACGGCACAATTGATTACAAGATTTTTGGAAAATCGGTCGACATTCAAGAAATTAAGATCTTGCAAAATATGAACGATGTTAACGTCGCTACATGCCGTTTTGTCGAAATTCGAAAGCATGCCAGTTTGTCAAGGAGTTGGTCCAGTTGAAGAATGTCTTATTCAACGAGACATCGCGTATCGAACTTCTTGCAATGTTTGGCATCATACCGATTGTGAATTAACCACCAAAACGAAAAGGTGCAAACGTTGCACAATATTGAAAAACACGTTGCTGCAAAAAAAGGCACGTTTTAAAAAGCGTGATCAAGTAAAAAGAGTCGTGGGAACCACAAATCCAATTGATCTTAAGAAAATAAATGCCTTGAGAAAAAAATTGAGCGTAACGCGTCGAATGAAAAATCGATCAAAAATTCGAATCGCCTTGTTGCAAGATCAGTTTATCTCTAAGCAAAACGAGCTGGCAAATATTCAGGACGAAACATTGGAGAAAAAATATGTTTCCTTGAATATACCAAAAACAATGCAAAATACGTTGATGGAAATAATAACTTCAGCAAAACACATGCCTCACATCTCCTGTCATATACACTCCAATATTACATTCGAATGAGAATGAGACAGTTTACATTTCAAGAAAATGAAAAGAAGAAAAAAGTATTTGTACAGAAAAAAAAATTATCAAAACTTACAAATCGATGAACTATTTCGATAAGTTTATAACATTGCATGATAAATAAATGTAATTATAATTGTTAACATTTACTCTGTGAATAAAAAGCGGAAATGGATTGCTATTTCAAAAAGTAATCACATCTTTCATTAATTCACATTTATTACCTCTGCATTTACCTCAATATGATAAATAAACATTATTTCTATGTACAACGGGAGTGATTTATTATTTTATTTCACTTTACGAATATCGCGGGATAGTACTATTACTACTATGTTTACGCGAGCGTTACTTCTGTAGTAACTTATTCGAATTATCGCAACTTACGATAATTCACTCCGCGTAAACGGGGATTTATTGAATAGAATCCCGTTTATGCAGAGTAAATTATCATAAGTTACAATAATTTAAGTAAGATACTACAAAAGTAACGCTCGCGTAAACATAATATATGTCTTTTACATAATTACAATACGTAATAATTAAATAACACATTTTCTTACTTTTCGTAAAATATTTGTTAAAAATACATTAACCGGAATCGAACTAAAAACGGTAAGAGTGCAAGGATCTCATGCTACCACTCATTCACATTTTTCAGCTAACAAGATACATATACTTTTTTCATTTTACATTTATTACAACGCGCATGCGTGACAAAAGTTCTTGCAACGCAGCGGCGTGCGCGGTTAGAAGGCGAACCAAAAAATATCGCCACTAAGCGAGTCACCCCCACCACCAAAAAAAAGGTAGGAGTTTCCCGACCTGTATTCAAGACCCGTGGTTCCAGCTACAAGTCGACACTGTGTAACCAGAGAGAAGAATGAGAGCGGCCACCGGCCGCATTTCGGGGGATACGGCTAGACGCATTTTAGAGACGCCATCTGACCAAAATGCGCCTAAACTACGTCCGCTAGGCGCACTTTCACGGTGATAAAAGTAAAAATGCGCCTAGGTGCGTGTCCGTACTACTTCCATGCAATGGATAGTAGATTAGAAAAAGACAGACGACAGACAATCGTTCCGTCTTTGTCTCACTACTGAGCGGCGCGCGGCAGTAAACACGAGGCGAGGTAGCGGCGATCTTATCGCTAAGCGAACATCTCTCCGCTTTTCTTTCATCTTTCACGCTCCAGAGACATCAAGAGACGCGGTAGCGTCTCGTGTCAAGGGAACGTGCGAAGCGAGGAATTATTTTCATGCACGCAAGGTAGCACATGGGAGACTAGACGAGCGTCGACATATTATCTGTTTCTTTTCCGCTCGTCTAGCTTATTGACTGCGTGAGCCGCGAGATTTTTCTCGCTACTCCTATACCTCACTCTTTCTCTCTCTCTCTCGCTCGTTCTTTCTCTCTCTCGCGCACTTGCTCGCTCTTCCTCTCTTCTCGTGTTCTTACGGCTTGGTTAATATTAATTACATGACAATATATATATATAAATAAATGACACATATATAGTGTATATGTATATAAAGAATATTTAGTATTAATGCACAAATAAAGAAGAGAGAATTATAATGAGAGACGAAAAGTTAATAGAAATCCACTCTTAGCCAATATATACATCTTTTAAAAATGATTTGTTATTAAAGTATATGACAGAATAATTTATTTATGCTAATAAATTTAAATTAAAATTAAATGAAATGTTATTGTTTTGTAAAAGATATTCCATTGTTACATTTTTCTTTTCGTAGCAAAAATAAATTTAGTCTAGTAAAAGAAGAAATTAGTTTTATTATCATATTTCAATTACGACTTTATTATTTAATTTTACGAATAGATAACGTGCATATTGTTGCTCAACGGAAACCGCGAGAAAATGGTGATCTCCGTCAAAAAATAAATGCAAACTTTTTAATAATATAATAATTTTTTTACGTAAGTGTTTGTTTTTATAGTATAACCTGTTGAATTTTATTAATTATTAATTCAGCATGTTATAGTACAAAAAATATATTTTAATATAAAAATTAATGTAATATTAACTGTTTACATTTGCAAGAAATATGGATAGAACAGGATAGGTTGCAATGATACATAGGAAGAAAAAAGATAGATGGATAAATAGATAGATAGATAGATATAGAGATAGATATAGGTGGATAAATAGATAGACAGATAGATAAATAGATAGATGGATAGATAGATATAGAGAAATAGATAGATAGATAGTTAGATAGTATAGAAAAAAAGATAAATAGAAATATAATTATCATTATTATTATTATTAATGTTTTCAGTTTCAAGAGAACATTCGCTTAAACGTAAGTCTTACTTAGGTCCAGTTTCACGACTTATATTATATTAACCGGAATATATTATACGACTTATATTACATTAACCGGAATATATTATACGATTTATATTATTTTAACCGGAATATAATTCGTTAATATTAGAAGTACCGAGCGGTTATTTCTGATCGTTTCTATTTTTTAGATTAATATCCTGTTTCTTTAAGAGTACAGGATTTTTGTTTTGAGGGTTTGTTTAATGTGATGTTTGTAAAGAATGTATATAAATTTCTACATATAAGATTAAAAATATGAAAAATATTGCAGTGAAAGCAAGGAGGTTCCACGGTACGCACGATATCTCAATAACTATTTGACCAATCGACTTGCAACTTGGCAGCATTATAAAATAGACTTCTCTTTACCGTTTTAACTACAATTAACCAAATTCATTAATAATTAATATTTTTTATTAAACTTTACCGAGAGGCCAGAAATAGACGATTTTTGTTCTAAATGCTACCATGTTATTATTTGTGTTCCGATTGTAGTTCAGACGATAGCTATACTTATAGAAAATAAAAAGCTACTTTAAATAATTGTGTAAAATTAAATCACACACATTTAGAAATTCCTTGGAATCGTCTATTTGCAACCTCTTTGCTTTTACTGCAATATTTTATATATTTTTAAACTTACATACTTGTAGAAAAATGTATATATATTCTTCAAACATCATTAAGCAAACTCTCAAAACCCGTAATCTTTTAATCATGTGATCTTTTTCGCTTCCGCAAAAAAAATTAACGAAATATACGTATTTTTTGTCGGGTTCAATAAGACAACTCTTTAAAAGCCTATCTCAACAAAATTACATAATCGCATCATTGATGTGCACAAGGAAATCAACCAATCATAATCCGTACAAGCGTGCCTTTTATATTAGACATATTTTACATTTAATTAATCTGTTTCTTTCTCTAGAACAAATAATCATCAAAGGTCAAGATAACGTCAAAATTATTTTAACTTAAGTTTGACATCATCTTCACTTTTATATAATTATTTGTTCTACTTCAGTTATGCATATGAATAATATGACTATGCAAGTTTGTCTCAATAAGTCTTAAACTCCGGTTAAAATAAATTATGAAACTAAATCTTAGCGTTTTTCAATCATCGGCATCTTTCACGATGTTACGATTATAAATATTATCTATATAACCAATTGTAACCTACACAACGGAACGCTCTTCGATTGAACCGATTGAAATTGCTCATATCAATTATCAATGATATATGGCCTTTCATTACATTCTCTAAGTTTCAATTGTTAATTGAACAATTCCTTTCGCAAGTCAAAGATTAACATGCTGATTTGAAACATAATGCAAAAAGCTCGAAAATAAATGCGAAGCAGAAAAGAGATTAACAATGAATGATTATTATTTAATATGCAACTTACATTAACATGGAATGTCTAATTGACTTAATGTCTCGAAACTACTGAATATGAATTTATGCTCAAATCTCTTCCTTTCTGTAGGAGGTTTTTGGCTGTTTCGGTTACTTTCCTCTACATTTATATTGATGAGTTGAAGCACTTGTTTCTACGAGATGTTTAAAACTCGGCTGACTTTACGAGTGTTAACACTCGTAACTGGACCTAAGTAAGACTTACGTTTAAGCGAATGTTCTCTTGAAACTGAAAACATTAATAATAATAATAATGATAATTATATTTCTATTTATCTTTTTTCTATACTATCTAACTATCTATCTATCTATTTCTCTATATCTATCTATCCATCTATCTATTTATCTATCTGTCTATCTATTTATCCACCTATATCTATCTCTATATCTATCTATCTATCTATTTATCCATCTATCTTTTTTCTTCCTATGTATCATTGCAACCTATCCTGTTCTATCCATATTTCTTGCAAATGTAAACAGTTAATATT